AAACAAAAAAAACCCAATATATCAAATAAGGTTTCTATCCTCAGTCCTCACCCCCCAAAGAAACAATAATACTACTTTCCTATTTTGTACATTTGCTAATGGGTACATTATCTAAATGCTTGTATCTATGTTTGATAGCTACCTTATTGGTTGTGACAATGAGCTTGCAAGACTTCATACTCGCCATCCTGAAGCTTGTGACAAAGTTGGAGGTGTTATCATCATGCATATAGATGATCTCAGGAAATTTGCTTTGATGTGGTTGCTTAAAACAGAGGAGGTCCGGGCTGACAGGGCTCATTATGCCAAAAACTTCACTGGAGATCCATATGAAGCTGGGTGGATCAGTGAAATGTATGGCTACTCATTCGGTGCTGCAGAGGTATTTCACTTCTTTTGAAACTTCCTAGTAATCAGATTCCAATTTTGTCTCCTCTACATTCTTACCTACAAAACCAAAGAGAAAATATTAGTATGTTCTTGGAGTGTTGCCAGACTGAGTTTTTTGTTATGTATCTTATCTTGAAAATTGTGGAGTTTTAACATTGATTTGTTTTGTCTTTACCATTCAAAAAAAAGAAAACTGCTTAAATTAGAACAGAACTTAAGTTTTAGTCTGCAATAGTTGATTCATATTCCAATTTTAGTTTACTAAATAGAGACAGTGATTTCTTTTCAAGTAACAGAATGAATACTTATATTTATTTCTCTTACCATGCAGTTGCAGTTACGCCACCTCATACATCGGGAGATATTGATTTATCCAGGCTATATTCCTGAACCTGGTGTCAACTATAGAGTTTTCCACTATGGCTTAGAATTTAAAGTCAGGAATTGGAGCTTTGACAAGGCTAACTGGAGAGATGTCGACTTGGTGAACAAATGCTGGGCTAAGTTTCCAGACCCACCTGATCCTTCAACACTCGATCCAACTGATAAGCACATTTATCAGCAGGACCTGCTTAGCATAGAATGTGCAAAAAAGCTAAATGAAGCACTGTATTTGCACCATAAGAGGAGGCAATGCCCTGATCCCAGTTCCATTTCTGCCTCAAAGTTGGATAACACGACTGATATTACAACTTCTAGGAGGTCTGGGGGCAACGAGGACATAAGAAGCAATCCCATGACTGAAAATCAGGTCCAGGAAGCATCTCAATCCACTCCTAAAGATGGGCTCTTTAAAACTTTGAGGCTCTGGATTGTTTTCTTATGGGTGTTTTCTGGATTAGGCTTTGTGGCAGTCATGTTGGTTCTATGTTCGGGTCATAGAAAAAAGGGATCAAGAGGTAAAAAAGGCAGGAGAAAATCTTATCCACGATTATTGGATATAAGTGTGCGTGATAGGCATCCACCTGTTTCTGAGGTATCTTTATGACAGTAAAATCCGCATAGAAAAGTGCAATTGTTTGTAAAGGCAGTTACTTGCCCGAGCAGAATATAATTGAATTATGAGACAAACATATTGAAGTTGAGAAGCACTACTAGGAGATGGAAATGACTTTCATTTGGCAGTGAAAGAATGGACAATTTTCTCGATTTCTCACAAGTAAATTTTGATCACTGAATTGTTCCAACGTAGTTAGAAGGAAAGAAAAACAGTGAAGTATTAGATTAGACAGGTACCTGTATCTCCTTTGTTCTTTCTGTTTCTTCTTCTTTTTTTTTTTTTTTAAATTTTTTATTTTTCTGGTGTTGCAACATGTATTCCCACAATAACTGTATTGCTTGTGTTTGTGCTTCTATGTTCAGAACACGGTTTCTGTTTTTTCCTGTTCATTTTCTGCTCCTCTTTCTTACAGCCTCCGGTGACACAGCCTGCATCACTATCTCCTGGAAAACTGCCTACTCCCAGCGGGGGAAGCACTGTCAAAACCAAAAAACTCTCATCCTCGTAAGATGTCTTCAATTAAGAACATCAAATCAAAGCTAATGCAGGAAAAGAAGAATAAAAATCCTGTTCGTCAGCCTTGCTTAATTGTTGGATCGCATGATTAGAGGCTGAAAAAACCAAGCATAAGTCTCAGTTGATGAATCTCATCTTATTTCCTATTACATTTTACATGACATAAAGTATGCCATCTTTGCTAAGAAGAATTCAAATACATTAGACCCACACCCTTCAGCCACAACCTTAATTAAAAACACAATATAACAACACTGGATGCCATATGATCATCAGACTACTCCGACTAAAGACCAACCTTCTTCAACCTCAGCATAATCCAACTCCAATCCTCCATTGGAAAAACCAATTTTATCATCATCATCATCCTGAGTTAAAACCTAACCACCATTACTTTTTTCCTTGTCTTCTTCAGCATTTCCTTCAGCCTCCTCGTGCTTCAAGAAGACATGTTGAAATCATAATCATGTCCATCATCATTATCATCAACTTCATCATCCTCATCATGGTCGTGGTGGTTGCTGGCCAAATGCTCCAAAACTGCTGAGACAGAGAGTCCAGAGAAATTCAAACCAGGTCGCCCGTCCATGACCTGGTAATTTTCATGCATGTCAGTAGACCTATGTCTGTGGTTGCCCTTGGTCTTGTCCTTGGACTTGCAAACCGGGTGCATATGACAACCCCCACACCGTGCCTTACCGCATTTTCCGGTGAACTTGGAGTGGTTGGTGGGCTTTGGTGACACCTTGGTGAACAACCCTGCAGTTGCCGGTGAGTCAATTTTTCTCCGGGATAAGTTTACGTCACGTCTCAAGTTCAACGGAGGCGGCGGAATGTAATATGTCCGGACCATGCCATACTGACGTCCCTCCCTCTTCATTTTTGGCAAAGTTCGATGAGGGCTTGAAGGAAATGATGATAAAGGTTCGTGTCTATCCAAGTTTATATATATGCATATTCAAAACTTGGCAAGCAAGTTGCAACCAAAAAAAAGGGGAAAGAGAAAAAGAAAAAACAGCGCTTGGCAAGCAAGGAGTTTTGACCAGTCATAATAATACGTATGGACCAAGACAATTCTACGGGGACAGACACCTCATATCAGATTAACAAAGTGTGAGTGGTGTGTTTGTCGTGCGTGTTGGCAGGTTCCTTGCTCGTGCAACGAATTGTTGACCCTCGAGGCCCCCTAGTCCCTACAAAGTGATAAAAAAAAAGTGTTAAATTATTAATTTAGTCCCTTAACTATTATATGGTTTGTTGATTTGGTTCTTAAATTAAAAAAATCTCTAATTTAATTCTTAAAATTTTTAAATTTAACTCTTAGTTGATTTCTCGATTAAAAAATAATTGATGTTATCATATTAGTAAAGTAATACGTGATTATTAAGTAATGGCCTTCTACTAGTAAATAACACACATTAATTATTTTTTAATATAGAAACTAACTTAATCCAAATTTAAAAACTTTAACAACCAAATCAAAAATTCTTTTTATTCAAGAACTAACTCAAGAGTTTATATAACAATTGAGGAACCAAATTAAATATTTAACCTAAAAAAAAAAAGCACTTCCCAACTAACACTGCCGTCTGTCCTCAGCACTTATATAGGACTTCTGAGTGCAGCGACTTAATTAGTTTAGACTAAGTATTTGGTGTTCACTTGGGTTTCTTATTTTTGTAGTTTGGACTACATAACAAGAATGGTTGATCAAATAGTTTTTGTTGTGTAGTCTAAATTACATAATAGTTTTTCATTTGGTTTTTTCATAACATAGGTGAAGTTAGAATGAGCAGAAAAGGAGAAAGATTTAAGTTAAGGGAGAAGAATTTTCATGCTTCTCTCATTGCATCACTTAAATAGGTTTGTTTTTCTATACAGAGTGGGATTTGACAAACTAATTACATCAAGAGGAAAGAGATCAAACGGAATGCTTCTTATACATACCACTGTAGTTCATCAAAATACAATTCATTCCAGGTCTGCACAAGCGTTAGACGTTCACAGACTCAGGTTTATCGGAAGACTTGATAAGTGGTTCTTTACCCTCTCCACCGAGTTTAGGAGACAACGTTGTTTTCTTTGCAGGGTATAAAACAAAATGTTGAAGCATGAAAAGAATGTCGAATGATAGAGATACCTGCAGAAACCAATTCATTGAGGTTGTTCGTAAGAAAATGTTGTCTCATGCGATGCAACTAACATAAGCTAAAATAAGAAAATGATAGCATGAGATTAATACTTGAAAATGATAAGTATAAATCAAGATATATAGCAGAGAACATTCCATACCAGAGATAGCAGAAACTTTCCCATGTTTCCATGGAAGTTCACCCAAGAATCTGGAAGACAATAACGTTACAGTTAAGGCCATGCATGAAGGATAGTTGCAGGTGATGAGAATAAATGTTACAGGAAAAGACCCCTTACTTTGATCTATAGACTGCACAACCATCTGTGCATAATTTGCCAAGCTTCCAGTAAAATCAAACAAAACGTTTCCAATGCTGAATCCTTTAGTGCTCTTCCGTGAAAAGTTAAGCAGTGCCTGTACTTCATAAGGCGTAAATCAGTTGTGCATTTGCAGTTGATTGAAACAAGCCACAGGCATTTAGGAGAATAAATCCTCCTTCTTTGATCATCTCCTTATGCAAAGATAATAAAAAAAATCAACTAGTTCATCTGAATTAACATATGTTATTCACACTAATTCAAGGAGTCGTTCATAAGAACAACAAGAGAAATCAGATAAAAGCAGAGAAAGTATTTGTCCTTTTTTTTTTTCAAATCAGTTCAATGTGTACGAGCAGCAAAGTATTATCTTTATATGGCTAGTTGGCTACTTCCATAAAGGAAAAAAAGAAAGGAGCGTAAAGTTCCACTCTATATATATATTTCTGAATGAATTAGCAACTCTCTGAACATTTCTAGACATGGAAATCAAAATGCATCAATCCACTGGTCAGTATAAATAGTAATGCCAACATCACAATCAATGATCTAACAGTCCAAAAGGGAGACATTTCTGACCTGAGGAGTAAATTTGATCACTGCCATGCAAACTTGTATTGAGCTGCAACACAAATAATGCACAGAATGTTAGAAACAAAATACATGAAAACCCATCAACAGTAATTTCAGAACCAAACTCGGTTTTTCCACCCCCTCCATATATATGGATTGACAAAGAAAGTTAGTGCTTAGCTTTCAAGGATTTGAACCCTAACGTTGATCAAAAAGAATCAAAGGTTTAAGGTTAGTGGTCAACAACTTGGCTAAGCTCTTGTCTGTTTTACCCTTTGGTGAACAGTATATGATTGAAGAAAACATCCCTTATAAAGAAAAAGGCAATACATTTCTCATTTCAATTCTGCACCTAGTAATCTCTACTAAAAACAGCATAAAAGCTCAATAACATTAACCATATTAAGAGTAGGAGAACTGAGAGTGTTAACAACTAGAACGGACCCAGAAAGGGAAAAACTAACTTGAAGACAGAGATTAGCCAAAGCCAAGAATGATTAGGCGAAGCTACAAGAAAGCAAATTGCCGCAGCTAACCACACAGCAGAGACAATTACCCAGGAGATCTTAGAGACCTTTTGATTGCCACGCTGCACAAAACCATCAGAAACAGTGAAAATAAAAACCAAGACATATAACCAGATTTTTGGCACATTATAACCTTACTGATGAACTACAATGAAAGAAACTCACATCATAGATTGCAATTTGGAGCAAAGTAATAGAAACCATCAGAACAGCATGTATTGAAAACGCAACATCGTTTGCTGCTACAGGAATGATCTGCAGTGCAGTAAGCAAAAACTTTTTATAAAAAGAAGGTTTAAAAATAAAAGCAAAGGAAAGCAAGATATGGACCTCCTGGTAACCATATCTCTCAAAGTACTGCCTCTGAACGGCGGGGCTGAAGTAGAGAACAGCGTTGTATATCAAATACGAGGAGTGCTTGGTGAAATTTAGAACCACGAAGTCGAAGTTCAGTCCGACGACGCTGCTTTTCCACGGTAGAATTTAGTTACAGTACCCATGAAATCAGATTCCAAGGAAAAAGCAGCAGAAAGAAGAGAAAGCTTTTACCTTTTCCGGCGAAAATTCAAGATGATTTGAGGCAAGAAACCGATTGCCCATGAAGTGAACCCGAGCCATCCCAGTACATGGTATGTGATTTCTAGAGGAGTTGAATGCCAAGAAACCATTTTTCTTCCTCTCCTTGCATACGTACCAATCAGATTCTTCAATAAATATCAAACGCATAAGCCAATGAGAATAACAGGGTTCAATTGTAAAAAGTTAGTATTCTAATAATTGTATCATTGTCAACCATTGGCCAAAATTTTTACAAATAATCATATCATTTTCACTACCAATTCATACTGAAAACAAAATTTTCGATTAAAAAGTCATGGCTGTCAATGTAAACTGCACAGTCGGATCGACTGGTTAGGATGTTCCGCAAAGTTTTGATACAAATAAAATGATGAATAATTGAGTTCACCAATTTAATACTGCCAACGGAAACATCTAAAACACAATCGGATGCGATGGAAATATAAGATTTAACATGTAAGAATAATAATAAGCTGGCCGCATTATTATGTTTATACATCAAAACTCTTCAGCTAGGACTCTTAAGGAATACAACAAAATAACAACACTGGATGATGCCGCCACTACATGATAAACAATTGCTCAATCATTACACTTCTCCAACCAAACACCAACCTTGCTTTACCTCATCATCTTGATCCAACTCCAAACAAAGTAGCTAATCCAGCATTGCAGCTGATACGTCTAAAGGAAGCAAGGAGTTTTGACTCTATATTCCGAGTCTGCCTAAGCATTACATGTTCTCAGATTAAGGTTTATCAGCAGACTTGATAAGTGGGTCTTTGCCCTCTTCATTGAGTTTAGTGGATGATGTTGTTTTATTGGCAGGATATAACACAAAGTGTTGAAGTATGAAAATAATGTCAAAGGATATAGATACCTGTAGAATGAATTACATTGAGTTGATAGTAAGAAAGAATAAAAGACAATATGATGCATAAGATACTAACTTGAAATGCTGTTAGAGATTGGTCAATTTGTAGCTATAAAACCATAAAAAGAAAAGAATTGAAGACATTATTAAACAAACTTTTGTACCATTCACTCTACCTTTCTTTTCCCGGTGGTGTGGGTGGAGAAGAAGGTGAGATCTTTGATAACTCTACTACCAAATTAATGAAGGGCAGGGAAGAAGGGATAAAGGGTGAGGAATAGAGAGAAAGGTATGACAATAGTAGAGAAGGGAGAGAAGTGGTATAGAAACAGATGAAATCTAGAGTGGAAATCTCAAGACACATACCTAGACGAAAATCATGAAGAAAATGCTAGCAAGAGAATGGTACTTGGAAAAGATATAAAAAGGTAAATCAAGATGGTAGACAACATTCCATACCACAGACAGCAGCATCTTCCCAATGTTTCCATAGAAGTTCACAAAAGAATCTGGAAAAGCCAATAATATTACAGATTTAAAGTCAAGGCATGCATGAAGGATGGATGCAGATGGCAAGACTTAATGGTACAGGAGAAGACCACATACTTTGATCTACAGATTGCACAGCCATCTGTGCCAAACTTGTTAAGCCTCCAGTAAAATCAAACAAAACGTATCCAATACTGAAACCTTCTGTGCTCTTCCGTGCAAAGTTAAACACTGCCTGTATTCAAATAAATAAGTCAATTGATTATGCTAAGTTGATTGTGACTAGTCATATGCATTATAAGAAGTTTCTTAGATCATGTTCTTAAGAAAAAAGAAAGTAATCCAGAAATTCTTCTGAATCTTCTTGTGTAACATGCACAACTTCATTTTTTCTGGCTAGCAACTTCACGTTAAAGGGGAAAAAGTTAAGGAAAGGAGGGTAACGTTCAACTCTTTGCATATCTTGGAATGAATTCAGCAATATAAGATCTGAAATATAACAGCTTGATAACTTATACACTCATTTGCGAGACATGGAAATCATTATGTACCAATCCATTGACCAACATGAAAAGTGATACCACTATGCCTATTGATGGTATAAAAACCATCCAAAAAAGAAACAATTCTGACCTGCGGAGTATATTTGATTGCTGTCATGCAAACTTGTATTGAACTGCAACAAAAAATATTAGAAAGAAAGCTTCAAGTTTACAGGTTCATGTACACAAAAAGTCATGAGCAGTAGTTTTAAACCCCAAGATTGGCTCTTTCTATCTACCCTTTTGATGAACCATATATGAGAGATTTACAGTAGAAAACATCCCTTGTTATAAAAAAAAAAAAAAAAAAAAATTGTAAATTCAATACTATATATGAGAAGACCATAGAAGACCATCCATCAAAAGCAGCACCAAGGCCCAATTGTTGTCTGTGCAACTTAAGGCATGAGAAGAACATCTGGAACTAACCCAGGAAAGAAAAAACTTACTTGAAGATTGAAATTAGCCAGAGCCAAGAATGTTTAGGCAAAGCTACAAAAAGGCAAATTGCTGCAGTCAACCACACAGCAGATACAATTGCTATAGAAATCTTAGAGAATTTTTGATTTCCCCTCTGCATAGAAGAAGATAGAGCTATCAAATAGAGAAAATTAAAACCAATGAATGCAACAGGACTTTCAGCCTATAATCTTACTGAAGAAACACAAGCAAAGCAACTCACATCATAGATTGCAATCTGAATCAAAGTAATAGAAGTCATCAGAACGGCATGTATTGAAAACGCAACATCATTTGCTGCTACAGGAATCATCTGAAGTAGCAACCCAACAACAAGAAGTCAAAACAAAATCAAATTAAAAAGAAAAAAGGAAAAAAGCAAGATATGGACCTGATTGTAGCCATATTTGTCAAGGTACTGCTTCTGAACGGCGAGGCTGAAGTAAAGACAGGCATTATATATCAAATAGGCGGAGTGCTTGGTCAAATTCAGCAGCGCGAAGTCGAAGTTCAGTCCAACGACGCTGCGTTTCCCGCGCGGAAACTGAGTTATGGTATACCGGGGGAAATCAATTTCGTCGGAAAATCCAGAAAAGTGGAGAAAGATTGTACCTTTTCCGACGAAAATTCAAGATGACTTGAGGGTAGAAACAGGATGACCATGAAACGAAAGCAAACCATCCCAGTACCTGGTATGTGATTTCCAGAGAAATTGAATGCCAGGAAGCCATTTTCCTATTTTCTCAGTCTTTGCCAGTTTAATCGGAGAGAAAATAAAGCAGCGGGCTGCAATCTGTCATTACCGAATGACACTTTCGCCATAGCTGAAACTCTGAAAGCTGAATACAGACAGAGACAAAAAATATATATATATTCAAAAGCTGCATTATGATCGAATATGATGATATTCTAATAAGATACGCATTGTATTTCTTTCTTTAAATCCACTGTTTGCAGTTGGTACTGGTTTTATCTATAAAATATTTTTTTATTTAAAAAATAAAAAATATGATATTTTAATATTTTAAATGTAAAAATTTTATATAAAACTATTTAAATATTTTAAATAATTTTTTATATTAATTTATTTAAAATATTATTATTATTATTATTATTGATATTATAAATGTTAAAATGTATTAATTTTTATAATCCCAAGGTTATATATTAAATTGTATATTAAAAATACAATTTATATATTAAAATTATTAAAATATTTTATTTTTAATAATTTTTTATATATTCATTTATTAAAAATATTTCAATCTTGTTATTATTATTATTATTGATATTATAAGTGTTAAAATGTATTAATTTTTATAATCCCAAGGTCATATATTAAATTACATATTAAAAATACAATTTAGATATTAAAATTATTAAAATATTCTTAATAAAACTATTTTTCACTCTTTTTATTTGACTCTAATAGATATAATTTTTATTTAAAAGTTAAAATTTAGGCTTTGTATGAGAATATTTTTCGATCTTTTAACTTTTAATTAGTATGTTCTTTTATTATTTTAAAATTCTATAAAATATTAATTAAAATAAATAATAAATATATTTTATATTTTTTTAAAATATTAAAAGACTAAAAAACTTATAAGTGTAATTATAGGGTAGCACTCTTAAATTAAGCACTTAGTTGTATACTTTTATGAATGTTATTTAATTCATCTATTTTTATTTATCTTTCTTTTTAAAAATAGATATAATATATAAAAAATAATAATTAATTAAAATAAATATAAATTTTAATTAATAAATTATTATATTTTATTTTATTAAGAAAATTAAATCTATTAAAATTAGTCAAAAGGTGTATATTATTTTATTAATGATAATTTAATAATTTTAATACTTAAATTATATTTTTAATATATAATCTAACATATAAAACATGAATATTTGTTTTAATAAAAAAAAATAGTAGAAGAAAAGGAGAAGTCAGTAGTTTGTAATGGCCACAGAAAATTTTCAGTGCAAACAGATTTGTCTTTAATTTTTTACTTCTAATTTTTCTTCCTCTCCCCCATGCCATGAGGGTTTTTTTCCCTTTAATTTGGTCCCCAAAAACAGTAGTATAATATTGAGATCAAGAAAGATGAGTATGGCACAAGGTTATTTAAGTTCTAGTATTTGGGAATTGAAAGATATGGAGCCAGATGACATTAATGAAGTCTTAAAGCCCCTACCTTCATGCACAAATGTGAATTTTAAACGGACCAGTCCTGAACTGGGAAAAAAAAGTGAGTAAGCACTCACTTCTTAGTTTCTTTGGAACTGATTCTGTGTTTTTTAAAATTAAACAAGCGTTTGCACTCTGCAGTTTGCAGCTGTTTGTCAACAAGGGAAGTGTGGAATGCTTACCCTTCAAAATCAAAGTTTAGAGTTTATGTATAACAGCTCAACGAAACTCTTATTATTTCAAAAAAAGCCAGATTTCAAATCAAGCAAACCAAACCATGGAGATTTGAAGAATCATTTCTATGTTTCTGAATGCTAGATTGGTTTTTCTATACAGATATTGAGAATGACAATTACACCAAGAAAAGAAAAAGATTAGATGAGCTGCTTTCTACGTGTATCTCTGTAAATTTGACCCAGATGCAATGCATCCCACGCTTGCATAAGCATTACACGGTCTCGGACTCAGGTTGATCAGAAGACTTGATAAGTGGATCCTTTTTATCCTCTCCATTAAGTGTAGATGGTGTTGTGCTCTTAGCAGGATATAGCACATAATGTTGAAGCATGAAAAGAATGTCAAAGGATACTGATACCTGCAAAATGAATTACATAGTTCATAGTAAGCAAAAGTAATGATTGTTAAATGTAAGATTCGAGTACTTCCAAAAGAAACGCAAAACTGAATCAAGATAGTTGAGAAAATTTCATACAAGTGACAGCAGTGTCTTCCCTATGTTTCCATAGAAGTTCACCCAAGAATCTGGAAAATACAATAATATTACAGTGAAGATATGTGTGAAGGACAGTTAAAGATGATGAGAACTGACTGTTACAGGAAAAAACCACTTACTTTGATCTATAGACTGCACAGCCATCTGTGCATAATTTGCTAAGCCTCCAGTAAAATCGAGCAAAATATTTCCTATGCTGAATCCATCTGTGCTCTTCCGAGCAAAGTTAAACAATGCCTGTATTTGTGGCACAACACATATCATAGTTGATCAACAAAAAGCAGATTCTAACAAATCATATGCCTTTACAAGCATAAGATTTTCTTCACCCATCTCTTGATGCAAATATAAAAAGGACTCAAACTACTCATCTGGAATTTCATATTGTATACAGACAACATCACATTGAAGTACATAAAAACAATGAGAAAAGTCAAATAGCACGGAGATAGTCTTTATCACTTAATTGGTTAACACAACATAACATAGACATCAAATCAGCTTCAAGGCAAGATGTATTTCATATGATTACTTCCACAAAGAAAGGAGAAAAAGGTGTATATATATTTGGCAATAAAAGATCTGAAATTTAACAGAGGATTCTAATTTATTTACTCAGGGGAGCATGGACTATTTTTAGACATGGAAATCATGATATATTAATCAACTGAACAGTATGAAATGTAAAGCCAACATGAAAAAAAAAAAATGATACATAACAATTGAAAAGGATGAAAAATAACCTGGGGAATATATTTGATCATCGTCATGAAAACTTGTATTGAGCTGCAACACAAATGAAACACAACATCAGAAACAAAGCCACCAGTTTATGGGTTCATTCATCTACATGAAACCTCAACGGCCACAGTTTTAAACAATATTGGTTGTTTTGCCCTTTTAAAACTATATATAACGGTAGAAAGCATCCTTATAAAATATATATATATATATATATGCATACAATGTTGATTCAACACTAGCAATCAAGCAAAAGCTGGATGAAAGCTCAACTGTATTATTTATGCATCTGAAGGAAAAAACTTACTTGAAGACAGAGATTAGCCAAAGCCAAGAATGTTTAGGCAAAGCAATAAAAAAGCAAATTGCTGCAGCCAACCACACAGCAGAGACAATTCCTATGGCAAGCTTAGATATCTTCTGGTTTCCACGCTGCACAGAACAATCAAACAGAGAAAAGTAAAAAAAAAAAAAAAAAAAACCCACTGAATGCAAAAGGGTTTTTAAGCAAGTAATCTTACATCATAGATTGCAATTTGAACCAGAGTAATGGCAGTCAGCAGCACAGCATGTATTGAAAACGCAACGTCGTTTGCTGCTACAGGAATCATCTGCAGTAAACCCCAAAATCAAAACAAGCAAATAAATATGAAAAATGAATCCAATTTCAACAAAGAGAAAGAACAAAGGGAAGATTCCAACCTGGTCATAACCGTACTTCTCAAAGTACTGTTTCTGAACGGCGCGGCTGAAGTAGAGAACGACGTTGTATATCAAATACGAGGAGTGCTTGGTCAAATTCAACAACACGAAATCGAAGTTCAGCCCAACGACGCTGCCATTTCGCCCGTGGAAATTCAGTAATCGTACACTGGAGGTTCAAAATCCAGGAAAGGGGGAGAAAGATTTTACCTTTTCCGGCGGAAATTCAAGATGACTTGAGGGTAAAAACTGATAGACCAAGAAACGAACGCGAGCCATCCGAGGACTTCGTAGGTAATTTCCAGCGGAACTGAATTCCAGGAAGCCATCTCTCCCTCCTCTGTCTTCCTCCTTCTGCCGTCCGTTTCTTTTCAGTTTAATCGGAGAGAAGGAAATGCCGTGACGGAGAAGACCAGCCAAAAATCGCAGAGGTTTCCAAAAAATCGGCAATTTAGTCACGTCGTGTGTGGGACCATCTGTTTGACGACGTGGACTGCTTGTATCGGGACAAGTTTGTG